CGCGTCTGAAATTTGCTTGAAATATCATAACGAATATTGAAATAAAAAATTTGAATAGCTCCTATCTGAATAAAAATTTCAAGTAACAATTGTGCTCGAAAATACTCGAAATGTTTGTGGAAATCGACCAAGCCGTTACAATATGACCAAGCGTATGAAATTTGCTTGAAATATAATAACAAAAAATCTCAATAGTTTTATTTGAAATAAAATTTCAATTAACAATTATGCTCGAAACTATTCGAAATGTTCACCGTTCACAAATCGGTTTTGTAATTTATCTCGAATGTTATTTGATGTTTCCTATGGAAATTTTAACGGCTTGGCAAATAGGAAATCGAAGGGCCTCCAAAGCCAGGTACCACGTGAGAACCATTGAAAAACAAAGTTGATCGTGCCCCTTTGACACTAGGTCACGTGACCACAACCATTTTCATGCCAAAAAGTAGTACCAGAATTTTACCCGACCTCGCTTGCTTGTTCCGTTTTAAAGTTGAGAGAGGGGGGAAGGACTATATTTACGTCCTCACTGTATTAAACACGGAAAAATTCTTTCAACTGAAGCTTTTCGGGAAAATGTGAATGCATACTGATGATTTCATTCAAGAGTTCATATTTCGATAAAATGTATTCTAAATTATGGAATCAATCAACAATACACAATACAATACACAGATACAAATGCAAAATAAATTGGCGTTTTGTGATAATCAATATATTATACATGAAAAAACTTGATGAACCCATGAAACTCGACCGTATAAGTAAACTCGTCCCTAAACCTACTACGTTTATTGTCAAATCTGACCCTGGTAATCAGCATCCAATGAGCATCATGATATTCCTGCTGACTAGCACTATAACTAAAATAACACGAGCTGATAATGATACACGAACTTTCTTTAAAAACTATCTCACATCTCAGAGTTAGTTCTTCTGAAATCAAGTTTACATCAAGTCCACTGATATCTCATTGCTATCAGCCAGCGTTCATTCAAATACCGGAACAGTTTCTCAAAAAGTTCAAGGTGGTTCAAATGATTCAAAATATTTGGTAAGCATTGTTTAGAATCTCAAAAGTACAACGTATCGAATGTAGTATAGTTCCTTGATTATTTTTTGCTTGTTCACTCACACGGGAGGAAGAAAATATCAACTATTGTGGAAGGTAAAATGAATTGGCTTCGGCATGCATCCTTTGGCGTCGATATACCTATAAGATGCAGTCCAAGTTATCAGTGTTTTTATCACTATTATGAAACCACTAACAATAATACGTATATCCTTTTGGAATTCCAATGATATCATATATTATACGCTTACTACATATTCTGAACGAACTTCTAATCAAAACTTTCGAATGCCGTTACACAATATACAAATCATTTAATTCATGATCAGTGTCAAATTGACTTTCGTTCTATTGCCGTCATATTGGCCTAGTAATGCATGATGTTTTGAATCGAGAGATATACAGCCTGAAGCACAATTTCAAGAATTATGTACCCTCCGCTTCGCGTCGTGCATCAAACTTCACACGTGAAAGGAGATGGCCACCTTTCTTCCTCTGATATAAAAATACCGAAAAATACCTATCATCACACAGTGACCAGCACATACAGAGAGGTGCACAGAAAACGGCCAGTGCTGTATCTTCTGAATCATTCTAGATCGGATTTCGAAAATTGGTGGGTAGCAACTATACTAAATTGTTCATTAATTGAATAAACAATTTTTGTTTAATCAATTCCGGTCCCAAACGACCATAATTATTGATTGGTTGAGTGTAAGAAAGTATTTATCTACCCATTTCACACATGGGAAAGCGCTAACTCTGCCATTTGATAGTAAGCATCAAAGTTATTCGTAAATCTACTCATTGTACCTGTTACTAATACTTCCTATCAATCAAAGCGATTTATTATTATTTTTATTATTATCTTTAAGTGGGACACCCTGTATTTTATTCCATAATCGGTTAAGGATTATTATGACGAATTCAACGATACCTGGTTTGATGTGGTTAATTCAAGCGACTACGAAGATATTCGCGTTCCAATTTGTCCAATAAGTGAGACAGAGAAAGAAATTTAGATATTGCGAAGTCACACCCATTGAACATACGGAAACTCTGAACGCGAATGTCTAAGTAATCGTTTGAGATAACCCTATCAAACCTGGGTATCGTTGAATTGGTTATGTTAATCCCTAACCGATTATGAAATAAAATACTGGGTGTCCTATTTGAAAATAGAAAGTTAGAGTAGTTTCTGATGACACCGGAAATGATACAAAAAAAAATTGCTACCCACCAATTTTCTAAATCCGATCTCTAATGTTTCAGGAGTTACAGCACTGGCCGTTTATTGTGCACTCCTCTGTATATGGACACCAATAGGATTTTTTTAAAGTAGGATTTTTCATATGGTGAGAGGGTTGAATGATGGAGGAAAAGTTGCGTGATTTTATGACTACCAGAATGCCGTTTTGAAATCTGAGAAATTCCTAATACTTCCGAAGATTTTTGAAAAAAAGAATGTTCGCGATTTCATTTTTACTTGTTTTTGACTCTATTTGAATAGGTGTAACAAAACAAATCACCCCTTCACATTGCTCCTTTTTATGTTCTACGAGATAGTAATATCAACCAACGTTTCGTCTTTCGTTTTTTCCCATGAAGTTTTTGTTATGGATTTCAAGAGCTTTTATTCTCCTGAAATCAATGGAGTATCTCACTTCTTCGAGAAATATGTTCTTCCCCCTATTTAGCAATATTGCAAAGGTGAAGTTTGATAATGTAGCTTTGCAGCAATATTACATGTTGCTGTCTCATTGAACGTTACATTTACAAATTCACATTTGCAATATTACTGAACGTCCGTTTCAGTAATTGCTACAACCTTGCATCAACAAAGCTTTCAAATTTGCTTAGTGGGTTAGTTTTGAGAAATCAGAAGCTCTTGAAATCCATAATATAAAATTCGAGGCCTGTATTTAAAGAAGCAAATCTGACGATAGCAGTTCGAAGAAGAAACGTCGGTTTGAAAATCGGATAATATCATCTTGTAGAACAGGAAAAGTAGCAATGAGAATGTGTGATTTGTTTTGTGACATCTATTCAAACAGAGTGACAGAAATTCGGTTTTTCCAAAAATCTTCGGAAGTATTCGGAATATTTTCAATTTCAAAATGCATCTTCTCAAATTTCACTCATCAGATATATTCGTCTTCTTTTCTCCAAACTTGAAATGCAGTTTCGTATTATACAGGCTGATTCACGGTGGATGGCACATTAGACGTTTCTGGTGAACCAGACAACGGATCATTTTGAAAATTCAATGGAGGGAATATTCGGACATTCTCTAGCCAACTAAAATATTTTCGACAATGCGGTGTTGCCGCTTCTATTAGAAAGCAGTAGCAACTTTGATTCTTTGAATGGAACACTCAGTATTTTATTGCATTTTTAGATTTTCCCTGAAGAGCTGATTTCATCGATGTGGCACACTTGGGGTCTAGCGGAAATGATTACAGAGATATAGGGTGTGAAAAATCGACATTTTTCAACTTTAGGATTTTTTTGTGTCGAAACTATTCATCATTGGTCAAAACGGCTTACTTGTCCCTATCTCAACTTTTGATTAACTATCTACTGATATTTAATTGGGACATATACCGGGTGATCAAGATTCTGAATTCTGCACCACCTTGTATTTGTTTCAATTAAATGTTAGTAGATAATTGATCAATAGTTGAGATAGGGACATGTGAGCCGTTTTGACCAATGATGAATAGTTTCGACAAAAAAAATTCCTAAAGTTGAAAAATGTCGATTTTTCACACCCTATATCTCTGTAATCATTTCCGCTAGGCCCCAAGTGTGATACATCGATGAAATCTGCTCTTTAGGGAGAATCTAAAAATGCAATAAAATACAGAGTGTTCCATTTGAAAAATCAAAGTTGCTACTGCTTTCTGATAGAAGCGGCAACACCGCATTGTCGAAAATATTTTAGTTGGCTAGAGAATGTCCGAATATGCCTTCCATTGAAATTTCAAAATGATCCGTTGTCTGGTTCACCAGAAACGTCTAATGTGCCATCCACCGTGAATCAGCCTGTATAGGAATACGACAAGCAGAATTGCGCAAAATTGGTGTTCAAAGAAGTTTCACGGTGAGTTATAAAAGTAAATTTCAAATTTGGAGAACCGCAGGAAGTTTTAAGATGCAAAAAAATTTAAGGAATCTCGAATACTTTTTTCCATTTGTTTTCATTAACCTGTCACTCACTGTACGACTATATATCAATAGCTATATCTTTTTTCTGTCGAGTTGGTTGAGATCCTTTATGGATATCGTATGGGTCTGATCCCCCAAATGATAGTGTACTAACTACCTAACTAGGTTGTCATCTAGAACGACAATGGTCTGATCATTGTCGATGTAAATAAAAACCTAGTAGGCGACCTAGTACGCGAGGAGATACAATAAACTTCCTAATTAGGTTGTCATCTAGAACGACAATGGTCTGACCGACTATGGGTTTCAAAAGACAACAGAAAGTCAATTACGGTCATATGTCTTCTTGATTCACGTATTTCCATCGAGTATATTTTCTTGAGAAATCAAGTGAATCAGAAATAGATAGAACATACTCAATGACCAATGCAGTTAGCTGATTTACCTATATCCCGGAATTCATTATTTTCGTTCATGCAAATCACCAAGAATCTATGAAGACTCTTTATTCGATTGATGCATTGTCGATCTAAATGAAAACCTAGTAGGCGAACTAGTTCGCAAGGAGGTATTATAGCTCTTGCCTACTAACTACCCAGAGATCAGTGACTGATCTCTGTAACTACCTAACTAGGTAGTCATCTAAAAGAACAATGATTGAAGATTGAAGTATTCACGTTATTCACGTCAACAAATACGTCAGATATCTTTCAGAACGTCAAAATTCATTCATCAGTAATTCTTTCTATTTCTTCTCCAGATACATAACATCACAAAAATGTGTACAAAGGACGCCCTATTTTCTATGATCTCAGAGCCAGCTGCTGAAACTGGAAATAAAGTTACTGTCGTTGGAGTTGGCGCAGTAGGGATGGCATGTGCATTCAGTATTTTATCACAGGTAAGTGAACAATTTCTTGATACACTCCTATCAAATTAATTAGATATCATAATATGCTCAAACTCAATTAACAACTCAGCTTACAACTCACGTATTCTTACTATAAACTTCGAGAACTAAACAATGATTGAATCAACTGCAACAACAGAGTTCTGGGTTTGAATATTGACTCTGATCTTCGATGGAAAGATCAAGTTAACGCTGTTAACAACTAATTAAATAGGGCATATTATGCGATATCTAGAATAAGAGACATCATGCCCACCAGTGCAATAACTAATGTATACTATAGTCTAGTATACAGTCACTTGTGTTATAGTATCATTTTATGGAGTAACTCAGTCGATGTAACTGAAATATTTGTGACACAAAACAAAATCATTCGGAAGATGTTCCGACTGGAATATCAACAAACTTGTGAACCCATCTTCAAAACTAGTATGGGACTCCTTAGAAACCCTAAATGAACGGGGCAGTCAGAACAGACTGACTCTAGCATGGGTACCAGCACATACGAGGGCAATGAAGAGGCAGACTCACTTGCCCGAGCAGGAGCAGAGCTCTGAATGGCCCAGAACCCTTCTGTGGTATTGCGAAAGCTATACAAAAGACTAGTGTCAAATCATGGATGCAAACCAAATCTCAAGAATCGTGGAACAACTCGCCAGGAATGAGACAGGCAAAAGAGTTTATTAAATAACCATCTCCAACATTCACAGAATATCTACTGAGCCAGAAACGAAGTTCAACTAGAATACTAGTGGGACTTCTTACAGGGCATTGTAGGCTCAACAAACACATGAGTACGATAGGTCTGACTGAAGAACTGCTGTGCAGGTTCTGTCAGGAAGAGGAGGAAATAGCAGTACACATACTATGCCACTGCGAGGGCTTGTCAAGACTAAGGTTCCTTACGCTGGGTGAGGAAAAACCAGGAGCCCAAAGATACACAGGGGATCTGAAAGCTAGCCTATGGAGTCTCATAGAAGAACTCTAATCGATTTTGAGGGCAGACACAATAGATCTGAAAAGGTCGCGGTGTGGAGGCAGATAGCCCGAAGGCCTCATTCTAAATCTAATCTAATCTAAACCCACTTTAATGAAATATAAAATAATGTCTTATGAACTATAAAAAATTGTTGCCATTTGTTCCAATTTTTACTCACAATAATTGTATTTTGTGTACTTATTTCATCATGTATTTCATTTTTAAACCATTTTGTGAGCGCTTGACTTGTCCTATACATTTCGTAATGCCTCAAAGGATAAAATGAATATTATTATTATTATAAGTTATATAGGTTGACCATATAATTTTTTGAATTGACTCTGCCGTTACTTGATGGAAATTCATGGCAAATGAAAAAACTTCACAATCGATAGGATTTCCACAAAATTCTCCAACACACGACTTGTTTCGCTAACATAGTAGCTTCATCAGGTGATATACTGGTAAGATATCATCATATTAACAATAGGAACATGATCTAGTGTGCTATTATTTCTATTGGGAAGTTCTCGCTCATCAATTCTATCAACTCTTAAGAATAATAATAATAATCAGTTAAAAATCATTGATGAGCACTACTGTGAATGTCACCATTTCAAGATATCATGGTCGTCTTATTTGACTATTTGAGCGTATTCCTCAAGTACTTGTTTATCTACATAAACCAAATGTTCAATTAGAAAACCGGTCAAAGTGCACTAACTTATCATGCTATCAGTTTTTTTTCGAATGTTTTTTTTGTGCTCAAGTATTTTCGGCTGAATAACACGAATTTTACAATGAAAATGTGAACAAACCGCTATTTATCGAGATATTTTACGAGAGTTTGAAATTTCACCTTCTTTTGCCACCCATCTTTGATATTCATTTACAACAACTACTTGTCCTGTTTTCATCACTGGACACTTTATATATTCACGTTGTACTTCAATAACACATTCCACTTCCTAAAATCAACAAGAAGTATGGTTTCTTTGGAATTTTTCTATGTGCAAATGAACTAAATAATAGTTTGGTCTCTCGCATTTTTTTCAAATTTGACCCTTATTTGACATCTCGTATTTGTATTGGTGTGATTGTTTACGTCACTAAAATAAGAAAAATATCTCAAATAAACCATATTCTCCTTGTTCATTTTAGTAAATAGAATGTGTTTTTGAAGTACAACGTGAGTATATGAATTCCATTGATGGAAAAAGAAGGACAAGTAGTTTTAAATGAATATCCAAGATGAGTGGCAAAAGAAGGTAACATTTCAAACTTTTTCGTAAAATATCTCGATAAAGAGTGGTTTGTTTACATTTCCATAGATAAGTACACCTATACCCAAAAATCAATTGAAATACCCAGTCCATGCCCATAATAATAATTTTGTAGACCTATAATTGCAAGTATATCAATTGCTAGCGAGTCACTATATTTTTCATATTCCAGGGAATCTCCAATGACGTTTGCCTTGTTGATGTGGTCACTGATAAAGTCATGGGTGAGATGATGGATCTTCAACATGGATCTCTCTTCATGAACAACCCGAAGATAACTGCCAGCTCAGGTAATGCGATATCCTATCCCCATTTCTTTCCTCTTTTCTATAGTCATCTCTGATACCTACCTCTTCAGAATATGTATGTAAGGCAAGCAGAGAGCTCACCTGTTTGGCTTTATCTGTCTAGCTTTTCCATGATTATCAGTCGAATCGCATTATCTAATGGTACCTTACAATTTCCCCAGATTACTCAATAACAGCTGGTTCAAAACTATGCATCATCACTGCCGGAGTCCGACAAAAGGAAGGTGAATCCAGACTGAACCTGGTACAACGCAACACAGATGTCCTCAAATTCATCATTCCCAACCTGATAAAATATTCTCCCGATACGATGCTCTTGGTAGTGAGCAATCCCTGCGACATCCTCACGTACGTAGCTTGGAAGCTGAGTGGTTTGCCAAAGCATAGGGTGTTCGGGTCAGGAACCAACTTGGATACCTCGAGATTCAGGTTTTTGATCTCGCAAAGATTGGGTATCTCGCCAACTAGCGTTCATGGTTGGATCATCGGGGAGCACGGGGATAGTAGCGGTGAGTTCATTCAGTGACACCAAAATTCACAATAAATCACTACATATTTCACGTAAGAACCATTTCACCATACCTTGGTCTGGACAAAGATTGATATTAGCTTGTGCAGCCAAGTGGCCCTTGAAGCCCTCACGCTATATCTGTCTCATCTCATCAAAGTTGATTGATTGATTGTCCTCATTACTCGAAGAAACATTTGTAACAGGTGGGCCAGAAGTAGTTGTCCGATGTTGTTTGGCTCTCATTTTTTTTCAAAATGAGAAACTTCGATTCTGTTTTTTGATTGTGTTCATTTGAACCTTCACATACCTGTTAAACATTCAGACATGAACCAAAGAACAGAAGTTTTTCATTTAGAAAAAAAAATTAGAGCAAAACAACATCGGATGATTTCTTTTGGCCCACCTTGTATTCATGAAAGGGACACATGTGGGACTGTCTTCAACCACTAATTCCATCTTTAGGGCAAAAGGGGATAGACGACTTGAATGAGACGTCTCATCAGCAAAATGAGTTCGCAGTATCAGCATACTTTTTATAAATTCTTCAGTGGGATAATATCTCCAATGTCATATCTGATCTGAATGTGAAGAGATACGAACTTCTTTCATCGAAAAAACACTCAATGAAACAAATCATGAACTATTCGCATAATAAAAAAATTTTTTATTGTCCAAACAGGTATTACACCCGATAGGCGACTGGACTGATTTCTTTTTATTTATTCATTTTTCAGAATAATATGTTGAAATACGATTGAGAAATATTATTTATTCAGTAATCCATGAATTCTCAATTATGTGTTGGTCATTTTCCTAATTAATAAGCACTGAAAAATCGATTGCCTCAAAATGTGTCCTAATGTCTTGTGGATCATTGGTTATAAAACATTTGGGTGAATAAAAATCATATTGATTCACACTACAGAACATTTCTACCGGTAAACGCTAGGGTAAACGTGACAACAACGGCGCACAAATTGTGGGCGTGGACTTGTCAGTTCTAAGCATTCAGCACAATGTTGCCAAGTCTCCAACATTAACATGATATTTCTGTTTCGGAGTATGAGAAGTATTTGGACATGCTGGTTTCTCGAAAAACATGATTATAATTGGTGACTTGGCAACCTTGCTTCATGAGTGGGAATGAAAGATTATCTGACCAATAATAAAACGGCATAAAAACTGACGTCACCATTTATTCGACGTATCGCCAAATGGCGGTCATGACTGTACGTTTGAAATGAGCTCTGAATTTCAACAATTTCGAACAATGCATAGACTCATTGTTCACATAAAATAATTAGGAGAAGTGTTGCAACAATCGATTTAGGTCCCTAACGATACAATGGAGTAATTGAATGCCAATAATTCATTATTAGTCGCCCATTACAGGACAAGGAACATAATCAACACAGCAAACTTAGTACTGGAATGATAAACAATAAGTTACAATTGAATATAAATCTACATCTCAATTCTGAGGAGAATATTTCTCACAAATTTTTTGAAACAACCTCTAAACCATCTGAATTATTACAGATCCGGTATACGGGAGACTTGGCGATATTTGTTCTTGGCGTTGTTAGATAAAAACATGTTTTATTTCGGTTATTGAAAATCGAATTGTAGATTATTTGTAAGCTCATAAATAAATATACATGAATAATAATTTCTTCGGTCTTCCATAGAGAGAAACGAAAATCTACTCAGCAGTAAAGAGTTGTCTATACCCTGTTCAGGGTAGATCCCATCAATGTTGAATGAAACATTTTCCATGAACAATCTCTGTACTGACTCTAGAATCTAGACCAAGGTTGAAGGAGAGGCTGAACCTTCTCAACAATAATAGCTTTCACACTTCAGAGATCAGTAGATTCCTTTGTTATGTGCAACCTTATAAACTAGTAGTATATGTATATTCAACACCTGCAGCAATGAGAAGTGGAGCACTACCGACTTCAATAGAAGTCTAGGACTAAGAGATAATCATAACGAGATGAGATTCTACAATATATTTCTTTAGTCGAGGTGGCTGTCATATTCTGAATTACCCAACCACAAACTACAACTTATAATTTTCATATCCATATCTTGATACTGTCACTCTCAATAAGAACTGCATCCGAATATGAAGCATGATGTAACAATATCAAGTCATATCATCTATCATTCTCCCAAAATGTACCGTGGTCTTATTGCTTACCTATGGTTATATATAGTTATCCTCCATATTTGCATAGAATCTCAACTAACTTCAATTGAATCAATTGAAGTTGTTGCGTCTCATTCTCTTGGTGGCATCAACTCCTCTCTACTTCAACATTTGTTTATCATTGTAGTTCCTGTTTGGTCGGGAGTCAATGTAGCTGGAGTACGTCTGAAAGAGGTCAACCCGGCCATCGGAACAGAAAACGATCCAGAGAAGTGGAAGCAGATCCACCAGGACGTCATAGCTGCAGCATATGAGGTCATCAAGCTCAAAGGCTACACTTCCTGGGCCATAGGACTGAGTGTCGCATCGATAACCCAAACCATCTTGAAGAATGGCAACAACGTGCATGCCCTATCGACTTACGTAAAGGTGAATATAGTTTGTGGAGTTTTTGCTTTTGTAGGTGCTCTTCTTCTGCTATTGTTTGAGCTTTCATTGAAGTCTTCTTTCTTCCTCACTGGTCATTCAACATAACTATATTTTCCACAATATAGTTTTTGTGGAGTATTTGCTTTTGTAGGTGCTATTCTTCTGCTATATTGTTTGAGCTTCCATTGTAGTCTTCTTGCTTCCTCGATGGCCATCCAACATAACTACATTTTCCACACTCCTTCATAAGAATCTTCTGCCCCCTTCAATTACTATTTTCAATACCCTGGTTACATCAGAGCAACTTTGGCTATTTTTGATACTTGAACAAAATAGGTTCAATATCATTTATAGTCGACGCTACCTTGTAGCTCCACCAGTAGAGATTCCAAAAAGGGGCATTGGTTAACGTTGAAGTAGTATATTATAGTATAAGTGGATATAAGGCCTTTGAGTCACGCGTGAGCAACTGTTTTAAAGACCAGTTATGCACGAACACATTAACGTACTTTTTTTATTGGTACACTTTGAGATCATAAATATGGAAATAACAACTAATAATGTGAAATGGTTGAACATTTGTTAGTGATATTTTGTTTGACGTTACATGGTTAGATCGATGAACAAAACGTTGACATTAGTAATATTCTTTCGTTCTGAAGCCTTTAACTGAACTGATCAAAGTGAAACTGATCGTGATGAAACTGAACTTGTGTATCATCGATCCAGCTGTCATGTTTTGACGGAAGAAAAGGGTCGGTTGAGATGGTCCATGTCAAGTCAATTAATGATACCATTGTAATCATCCTCGAATAGTGTGAGTACCATTTGATCAATCCTCAATATTATTGTCAATGTGCACATTCAATTTCTATCGTAGTGTCCCTGATGATGGAAATATGCATTTCCGAGAGCTCGGACAAACTGTAATGAGTTCACCTTTACTTTTCTATATTCTCAATAGATTTTTCCATTCAACTCCACATCTACCAGCATCATGAGAATTCCCAGTTCATTTCAATACAGTAGAATTTTTTTCCCAGAACTCCTTTCGTCTTTTTGTATTCTTGAGATATTGAACATGTTCTCCATAAGCTGATACAAGGGCCAAAGTTCCATTGTGGGTCCAATAAGTTTCTTTCTTATCATTCTCCACGCCAACTACGCTATCTGGGGAGAGCTCTGAAGAATGTGTTATCTGCTGAACTGGTTGGGAAGCTGAATGAAGCATTAAAAAAAGATTCAGTACATTTCACATGAAAAAGTAGAGAGATTGCAAAAGTCAAATCTATAAACATATATAACATGAATAGGTCATCAATGTTGTTATTGAGATCACCATTTATGCATCTGTCTGCATCTTCGTGAAATAAATGATCGGAGAATTTGATATAATTATCAGCATCATGTGAGATTTACCTTCTCATGGGGATTGGGCATTTTAATTTCAACTTGTTTTGGCGCTTCCATTTGAATTCGAAAATGACAGATTTGACATGAACTTCACAACTGATCAATCAAACGTTAGGTGGGGGAAATGTGATGAACTCTAAAGAACGCATGTTAACTGATTCAGTTCAGTTCAAGTGAGATTTTTAAGTCAGTTCAGAACGCAAGAATATCACTTTTCATCAGACTTGAAGTTTCGTCGGTCGTTGATGTTTGTTGACAAGCTGAGGTGTTCTTTAAATGAGCATATTGGGGTACAAATAAAAAAATACATTTTCATTTCTATTCTTACCAAATTGAAGATTGAACTCAAACTCAACACTTCAAACTCTTTCAGGAGATAGGTAATTTGATACTTCCAACTAGACTTTCGCAAAATGCATTTCTTATTCCTGCTTCAATTAGCTTCCATAGTTGGATACCATTCATGCTTTTTATCCAAATAATATCCCAAATAAATTCCATAGGGCGTACATGGCTTGAATCAAGAAGTATTTTTGTCGGTACCAGTTTCCCTTGGATTGGAAGGTGTGACAGGAATAGTCAAACAGCAATTGACAGAGTCGGAAAGATGTTCGCTGAAATTTTCAGCAGCCATCATGAACGATGTTCAAGCCGGTATTCAATTTTGAGTTCATGAAAAATGCAAGCCCGAAGAAGACTGATGAAAGCTGTGATAATGAATTAATAAACGAAACATTCTGTCCAATTATCATTGTCTTCTTGATTGAGTTTTCATATAGTTTGGAATGAAACGTCGGATGATCCGTTACCAGATTTTAATATACATTCCATATTCAGATTCTCTTCATCCGTGAGAATAATGTTCTTTTTATTTTTGCCATACGCTCATATCTCAACTAAGAACAACAATGAATCAGTTCTGGCTCCGTAACTATTCTGATGACTCATATATTCCTGAGTCCTGATTTCATAATCAGTCAATAAGTACCAAATGTCTAATAAAATGACAACAAGAAGGCATACATTTCATTAATACCCAGAATAGCATCAATAATCAAAGTTGAGACTTGAAATTGATGGAATCAAACTGAAATTGTAACTTCAAAGATTTCTGACTGGATTATTTTCATTTTTTTGGGAATATTCTCTCTTCGTTTCTTTGATGAAACTCAAGGCAACGAATCTGTTCCCGTTTCAACATAAAACAAAAGAATCATCTCACGAATTGTTTCTGTTTCAATCAGTTGACAAACGTTCCACCTCGATTAATACTGTTCCCATATTTGGAGTGCAGCACCCAAACATACCCTGAAACTGTTGGATTCTGTCCAAAAAGAGGCAATTCGTCTCGTGGGTGATGCCTCGCTCACAAACTCACTCATTTCTCTGGAACACCGTAGAAAAGTTGGCGATCTGGCTCTTTTTTACAGATATTTTCATTGACGATGCTCTTCTGAAATATCAACAATTGTTCCTCCCTTGGCAGTCCCCGCGAGTTGAGGCTTCGCACCCCTTCGTGGTCACTTCGGAGACCTGCAGAACATCTCTTTCCAGAGACTCGACAGAAATTTAAGGAGAACACCAATTCCTACCTTATTTCCTTGGTTCTCACGATGTTCTCGAAACATTACAGGATATCCCTTTTCGTGGGAATCAGAAAATACTGAAATGCTCCTTGAAGATGGGTACCTACACAAATTCTACAATTCGGAAAAATTTGAAATATTTCTACTGTTTATTGAATTTTGTCATCCTTTCCTATGTTTAATTACCAGCTTAAACCACAACCAACGATGAAAATAAGTAAGTATACCACTCAGCAGAAACAATGTATATATGTGGTTATATTATGTCATGACATAAATTTTTTATCTGCACTAACTACTATAGCTTTTGGAATGTTTTTTACAGGGTTACCATGGTATCGAATCTGCAGTATTTTTGTCTCTACCAACAGTTCTTTCTGCGAATGGGGTTACTGAAATAGTCCAACAGCAACTCACAGAAGCGGAACGAAAATCTTTACAGAAGTCAGCTGCAGTAATGGAACAAGTTCAGAAGAGATTGAACTATGTGAATCCCAAATTCTAGGTTAGGGTTTGATTTAATTGACCATATTTTCAGGAGTTGGAGATTTCGAATTGTGAGTTCGCCTACGGAGGTGTCAGATGTGATCAATATCGGCGACACTATCAAAAAATTGTATTTCTATGGAATCAAAAACTGTTGAATTGTTTATTATTGAAAATAAGTGCGAGAACATCTTTCGTATTTCGAACTAATTTTACTTGACATTTACAAATAGCATTCGATAAATAATGACATTGTACTTGACAGTTACTGTTTGCAACAAATAGCACAACATCTCTAACTCTTACTATTCGAAATGATGGTCAATTGATCTTAACATACAGCCATATTTTGATGTGTTCCTCTGCGTATCATTCAGTGCATCTGATAGACTGCCAATTTAGTTAATTAATTTATTATCTACTATCAGATATATGAGTGATACTGTCGAATAGTTTCTTAGTTGTAACATATTCCTATATTTGAATCATATATAGATGTTAACATTTCAAAATAGTTTCTATCATATTTGGAATTTTTATAAGTATCGAATCATTGCGTATAGTGTAAACTAAGATTTTTTATATTTTTTATTACTATTTAAAAATATTTTTACTTATTTTCTATATAATATATATATTACCTACTTCATAAGGAAAACCGATGGAAGAATATTTGTTTTATGTATGTATGTCTTGAAATTAGATGAATAAAATGTTTTTTGATTTGCCCTTTTATTGATGATAGCTAGAACTGGACTGTCTAGAAGGGGTGGCGGAAATTTGATCGAAAGACAAATGATAGAAAAACATTCGATAGAAGTCTTTTGATCGAAAGTGTTTTTGATAGAAATGCATTTTATCGAATGTTTCATAATAGAAAATACAATAGATAGAAACATAAATGATAGAAAATACAATTGATAGTAAAAATATTTGATAGAAATTACACTTGATAGAAACAGCATTTGATGCTTCTAGCTCCTTCTTCTCAAATATATGAGGAAGGATCATATCTTCACAAACGAACTGACCTAACTTGAGCGTAGCCCCGTTGAATTTTCTATCAAATGCTGTTTCTATCAAGTGTATTTTCTATCAAATATTTTTTTTTCTATCAATTGTATTTTCTTTCAGTTATGTTTCTATCAAATGTATTTTCTATCATAAAAAATTCGATCAAATGTATTTTTGGTGAAAAGTTCTTTTTATTTTTTGATTTTCGATCAAAAGACTTCTATCAAATATTTCTCTATCATTTGTCTTTCGATCAAATTTCCGCCACCCGTCTAGAAGATCTGTCGTTTAATGCTCTTTGGAGAGTGAGGACATATCATAGGGATGATATCATATACCAAGTGACATAGGGTATCAGAGGCCACCTCTGTAATGAGATGTGGTCAAGGCTATTCACAATCAGTCCGACATACTAGAGAAACATATTTTTTTCTGAACAATTGTTTTTTTTGTGTTACTTAATATATCGATGAATCATTTCAGTCACAACAAATTTTGACC